GACGAGATCACAACTTGGCGACACCTCGTAACGTTCACAAGGAAGTAAGACAGGAAGGTGTAGGACGGACCGATGTGACGTGGACGTGACAGTGACGGAGCCTAACTTGGTGGCCCACGACTCACAATCCTATCTAGAGTGTGTGGCCGATAGGAAAACGATGCGCCCTGTCGTGAGAATGGAGTCAGCGTGGTAATGGTTGGCATCGCAGTGCTCCTGAAATGTTAACCTCTGCGCTGTTACTTCGTGCGCCAATCAGAATGCTCCATCCCAAACACAGGTCAGTTTCTACTGAACAGAAGGCGGCACTAAGACGGGGCGCGTCACGTGGAGCCTCTGAGAATGAGAAAGGCTTTACCTAAAGTCTGAAACTATCAGAAATTACTGTTAATTAAGAACAAATTTCTGAAACTATCAGAAGTTACAGTTAATTAAGAACAACTCTTAAGCCTAATAGACAGTGAAGCTAAACATAAAACCGTAGCTAATCAGACAGTGACAGCGATCAGAGTGACGACGGAAGCTCGCGCAATACTAAAACCTCTCCCAAGATTTAACAGTGAGGAACAACACGTCTGAAAAGCCTGCTTGACTATCACTTGAGCAGCTGACGAATTCACAGGAAACTTACTGACCTACTTGGAAACATAAGCATACACATATATTTATGTTACTAATAAATTGCCAGCGTATTCAGTGAGACAGCCGGTCATGGCCTTATCCTCCTGAAGTGTCACACTTGGGTAGCTTCCCTGTCGCCCCTTCACGAGGCGAAGGAGCACACACGATCTTCCAGCCCGTCCTCGACTCCGGCTGTGCGTCTGTAGCAGTTTGAAACAGCGAGCTGGATCGGGAAGGGAAGTGGTTGGCTCGCAACAAGAGACGGAGGTAACCAGCCCTAATGATTATACAGGTATTATATGATGTTATGACAATTATACCTCTAACCCTCATGCTCGCCCCTGGCGGTGAAGGCTGGCGTGGCGGCCTGACTCACAAAGAGTGAAGACAATTACTTCAAGGGTGACTGTTTTTAATGGAACAAGAGTCTCGTTGCCTTTCTTGGCGATTCATGAGTATTCCGTCTTGAGCGAGGACTCGGCCCAGTCGTCAAGAGGACGCCCCGCAGCAGCCTGAAGGTCTCATAGGATTAACAGTTGCACCCAGACTATCAGTGTCCGGTAACACAAGAGGCCGAGCTCTACACTAAGAGAACTAGTAGCACTACAACTCTCCACCAGTACACTAAGACACACCGAAGGAGGAATGATATGTTGTGAGTCAAAGTCTGCTCTTCAAGCACCTGAACACTTCTCCGGCAAGATCGACAGCAAGAGCCTCACAATAGCAATTATAAACAACCTGCTCGCTGCACAGAATAAAAGGTTTAGAATCTCTCTGGTGCGGATACCATCTCACACAAATAAGACTCATCATGATGTGGCATAGAAGCCACATTAGCATGCAACAAGGATGAAGTTGAACAAGATCTAGGTACCCTATCTCTGATGCTAAAACTATAGTACTACAAGCATTGAATATATGATTGGCGAGAAATCATTCAAAAGGCTCGTTAACACTAGTATTTAAAGTTATGATTTGTTTACATCTAATCTTTATAAGAGAGAATGTATGTGCATTTGTCTGTCCAAGGCTGAAGGTCATATTCTTGGGGTTCGGCTCCAGTGCCACACTTTAAGAAATATCGGCATCTAATCCAATTCCCCCAGACAATTTTCATGAAGTAAAATATGAAATGCTGGTTGTGTTGCCCGTAGACGTATTAAGCAGTTTAAATGATTCATATTTACATTTTCTTCTGTCCTCTATGGACAGGGTTAGAGTTCTGTTAAACATATAGTTCAGTGATTTATTGAACAATCAACCACAGAAGGTGATTGTAGTGCTTTTAAAATGCTACTCTACTTAAATGCATAAATACACAAATTTACGTCTGCCCTACATAAACAGTTCTTTTACACAGTTTTTTAAGCAGCGTTGCCCGAACAGCTGTGTGTATTAATGCCTTCAGGCACTGTATGTACTAGCTCTATCTATTAATCTAACATTATGTTAGTAACTCATTTTCAATGTATGTACCGTTACCTGAATAAATATCTTATCTTATAGTGTCATTAGCGTACGTTTACAGAGGTGAGATGTAATTCTTACCAGCTTACACATATTCTGTACATACATACATACATACATACATACATACATACATACATACATACATACATACATACATACATACATACATACATACATACATACATACATATACATTTATGTCTCTCCTACTTTCACAGAGTTAAGGCAGCTGCTATAGAAACTAGTGTGTTATTAAGCACTTAACCACTGAAGGTGATTAAGATAATTGTACAAGCTCAGGTTATAGTTACATCACATACATTGTACAACTAATGCATTACATAGTCACTCTTGGATGCAAGTCCACTATGTCATCAAGTGTTGCAGTACTCATATAGTAGTTACAGAATTCAGCATACCTTAGCCCAGGAGGGCGAAAATCAGTCAATATGGGACATTCTACAATATAATGCTCAAGGGAGTGCATGTTTTCTCTTTCACAAAGTTGACATATGGTGTATTCGACACTTTTACAAAGTTGACACATGGTGTATTCGACAGTTTTACAAAGTTGACACATGGTGTATTCGACACTTTTACAAAGTTGACACATGGTGTATTTGACACTTTCACAAAGTTGACACATAGTGTATTCGACACTTTTACAAAGTTGACACATGGTGTATTCGACACTTTTACAAAGTTGACACATGGTGTATTCGACACTTTTACAAAGTTGACACATGGTGTATTTGACACTTTCACAAAGTTGACACATAGTGTATTCCAACACTGTCACAAAGTTGACACATGGTGTATTTGACACTTTCACAAAGTTGACACATAGTGTATTCCGACACTTTCACAAAGTTAACACATGGTGTATTCCGACACTTTCACAAAGTTGACACATGGTGTATTCCGACACTTTCACAAAGTTAACACATGGTGTATTCAACATTTCACAAAGTTAACACATGGTGTATTCGACATTTGGGTTTTAAGAAAGCTGCCAGATACGTCTATATCCTAGACTTATTCTGGCAACTATAACATCAAATTGCCGAGTTCTTGCTCTATTAGTTCTCTATATGAATATCTCCTCACACGAGAAACTTAAGGGACTGTAATATAGCCGAGGAAACATTATAAAAAATAAAATAGCAAATAAGATATGAGAAGCCAGGAAGAAGAAACACGAAAGGGTTCTTCACAAAGGTGGCAAGACATGAGCGCGTCAGGAGCAGAGGTAGCAAGAGTCAGTGGAGCCAGAAGAGTACACAGAGAGGGAGCTTAGACTCCGGACCCACACAGCAACCTATGTTGTGATCCTTCCTGAACCATTACCAAGCCGCGTAATGCACGACGCGGTAATGCATTTACAGTACACGAAATGATAACGGTCCAGGTCGAGCCGAAGCGTCATTACCTTTATTGTCACATTTGTGAGTCCGGTGTCTTTAACGCTCAGCCAAGTTACTGTGGCTCATTTCCAGCAAAGGAGACTGCCTCGGTAAACAATTATGGCCAGAGGAAAACTTCTCTGTGACGAACATCCGTCCACTTCCCTGCTACTTGAGCTGAGCACTGTGGTATGACCTCTCACGTGGCTTCCCTGACCTCCCGCTACGGTCCATGTACTGGACCGTAGCGTCTCTCTAACCGGCGGTTCTCTCTCTCTCCCCCAGCCACACGTGACCTCTCTTTGCTTCCTGACCTACTGGCAAGCAGCCGGGTGTAGAACCTCTCATTGCTTCCTGACCTACTGACATGTAGCCGGCTGCAGAACCTCTCATTGCTTCCTGACCTACTGGCAAGCAGCCGGGTGTAGAACCTCTCATTGCTTCCTGACCTACTGGCAAGCAGCCAGCTGTAGAACCTCTCATTGCTTCCTGACCTACTGGCAAGCAGCCGGCTGTAGAACCTCTCATTGCTTCCTGACCTATTGGCATGCAGCCGGCTGTAGAACCTCTCATTGTTTCCTGACCTACTGGCAAGCAGCCGGCTGTAGAACCTCTCATTGCTTCCTGACCTACTGGCATGCAGCCGGCTGTAGAACCTCTCATTGCTTCCTGACCTACTGGCAAGCAGCCGGCTGTAGAACCTCTCATTGCTTCCTGACCTGCTGGCATGCAGCCGGCTGTAGAACCTCTCGCATTATTCGACATGCTGGTTGTTGGTTTCAGGTCCAGAAGCAGTTGGGCACACCAGTACTGAACTATACCAATACAGCTTTGCACATATATACCGATATAGCTATACACACTTCTGCTGATATATTAATCCACACCTGTACTGATATAGCTGAGCACACCTGTGTATATATATATATATAGGTGAGATCAGCTGAGTATTAGTCATGGGTGATAAATAAGAATAAACAATAGCAGGAAAGAGTGTAGTAAGCAGGAAGTGATGAGTGAATGAGCTT